ATCACACACACACACATACACACACATCATCACACACACTATCACACACACTATCACACACACACACACACACTATACACACACACACACACACACTATACACACACACATCACACACACATACACACACACACACACACACATACACACACACACACTATACACACACACACATAACACACACACATCACACACACTATACACACACACACACATACACACACACACACACACACACTATACACACACATCATCACACACACACTATACACACACACACTATCACACACACACACACACACACACTATCACACACACACACACACACACACACTATCACACACACACACACACACTATCACACACACACACTATACACACACACACACACACACACTATACACACACACACACACACACACACACATACACACACACACTATACACACACACACACACTATACACACACACACACACACTATACACACACACACACTATACACACACATCATCACACACACTATACACACACACACACACACACTATACACACACATCATCACACACACTATACACACACATCATCACACACACTATACACACACACACACTATACACACACACACACACACTACACACACACACACACACACTATACACAACACACACACACAACACACACACACTACACACACACACACACACACTATACACACACACACTATACACACACACACACACACTATACACACACACACACACACACACACACACACTATACACACACACACACACACACTATACACACACATACACACACACACACACACACTATACACACACACACACTATACACACACACACTCTATACACACACACACACTATACACACACATCATCACACACACTATACACACACACACACATCACACACACTATACACACACATCATCACACACACACATACACACACACACACACACACACATACACACACACTATACACACACACACACTATACACACACACACACATACACACACACACACTATACACACACACACACTATACACACACATCATCACACACACTACACACACACATACACACACACACACATACACACACACTATACACACACACACACACTATACACACACACACACACACACACACACACACACTATACACACACATCATCACACACACTATACACACACATCATCACACACACTATACACACACATCATCACACACACTATACACACACATCATCACACACACTATACACACACATCATCACACACACTATACACACACACTAAACACACACACACACACACTATACACACACACTAAACACACACACACACACACTATACACACACACTAAACACACACACACACTATACACACACACTAAACACACACACACACACACACTATACACACACATCATCACACACACTATACACACACACACACTATACACACACACTAAACACACACACACACACACACACACACACACACACACACACACACACACACACACTATACACACACACACACTATACACACACATACACACACACACACTATACACACACACTATACACACACACACACACATTATACACACACACACACACACACACACACACATACACACACACAATACACACACACTATACACACACACACACACACACACACACACACACACACACACACACACACACACACACACTATACACACACACTATACACACACAATACACACACACTATACACACACACACATCACACACACACACACACACACACACACACTATACACACACACTATACACACTATACACACACACACACACACACTATACACACACACACACACACACACACTATACACACACACTATACACACACACACACACACACTATACACACACACTATACACACACACTATACACACACACATCTGAACACCACACCATAAAGGCTCATGAGGGACCTTAAAGGGGCGTGTCTTATGGGGGTGTGTCTTGTGGGGGCGTGTCTTAAAGGGGGTGTGTCTTGTGGGGGCATGTCTTGTGGAGGGCGTGTCTTGCAGGGGCGTGTCTCGAGGGGGGCGTGTCTCGCGGGGGTGTGTCTTGTGGGGGCGTGTCTTGTGGAGGGCGTGTCTTGCATGGGGCGTGTCTCGAGGGGGGCGTGTCTCGCGGGGGCGTGTCTCACAGGTTGTCGCAGGCGAACTCGATGGCGTAGTGGAGCAGATTGAAGCGTGACAGAAGTTTGACGGCGGCTTCTCCTCCCAGACTCTGCGCCCACAGTAAGGCCACCTGCTTCTGCACGTTTACGCCGCCGTGACTCTTCGCAATCTGCACACAAACATCACAGCTGACTCTAAACAATACAGAGATCTGTTCAGTAACACTTTATTTTACAGTCCACTGACTGCAGAACAGCTGCAGATTTGTTTACGCCGATTCATTTAGACAAACTTCTGAACACCCTTCACACACAAACACCCTTCACACACAAACACCCTTCACACACAAACACCCTTCACACACAAACACTTCACACACAAACACCCTTCACACACAAACACCCTTCACACACAAACACTTCACACACAAACACTTCACACACAAACACCCTTCACACACAAACACCCTTCACACACAAACACTTCACATACAAACACCCTTCACACACAAACACTGTTCACACACAATGTACACTGTACATGTTGAATGTTGTATATGTTATATATGTATATATAGAGTATATATATATATATGTTGTTTATATATATGTTTATATATATATATGTTTTTATATATATATATATATATATATATATATATATGTTGTACCCGGTGAGCCTCCTCCCACAGACTCTGGGCTCTGTACATGTTGAATGTTGTATATGTTATATATATGTTATATATGTTATATATTTATATATAGAGTATATATATATATATATATGTTGTTTATATATATGTTTATATATATATATATATATATGTTGTACCCGGTGAGCCTCCTCCCACAGACTCTGGGCTCTGTACATGTTGAATGTTGTATATGTTATATATGTATATATATATATATATATATATATATATATGTTGTTTTATATATATATGTTTATATATATATATGTTGTACCCGGTGAGCCTCCTCCCACAGACTCTGGGCTCTGTACATGTTGAATGTTGTATATGTTATATATGTATATATTGAGATATATATATATATATATATATGTTGTTTATATATATGTTTATATATATATATGTTGTACCCGGTGAGCCTCCTCCCACAGACTCTGGGCTCTGTACATGTTGATCGCTGTTTTCCAGTCTCCAGCCTCCATGAAGTGAAACTCCGCCTCCGAGAAACGAGACTCCAGCTCCAGCTCCTGCACCACACAGTAAAGAGTTAGTCCAAGTCTAGTCCTGGGTTAGTCCTGGTTTAGTCCCTGTCTGGTCCTGGTCTAGTCCCGGTCTGGTCCCGGTCACCTTGGCCAGGTGCAGGTGCGTCTCGCTCAGCAGGTCTGGGTGGTGTTTGGCGACGAGTCTGATGACGTCATCGAACATTCGGTTCTTCTTGTACATCGTGATCGCCAAGTCCGGCTGCTTCACCGCCGCGTACAACCTGCACGCCACACGCCAACACGCCATTTAAAACACGCCACACGCCAACACGCCATTTAAAACACGCCAACACGCCATTTAAAAACACGCCAACACGCCATTTAAAACACGCCACACGCCAACACGCCATTTAAAACACATGAGACCTTTGCACATGCACACTTGTTTTTTAATGATCACAGAAGTACAGGTGGAGGGGGCGGGGACAGGGGGGGGCGGGGACAGGTGGAGGGGCGGAGACAGGGGAGGGGGCGGGGACAGGTGGAGGGGGCGGGGACAGGGGGGAGGGGACTCACTCAAACGTCACATGCAGAACAGTCTCATCGTTACCGTTCGGCCTCTTTAAACTTGTTCTCTCGCTCCAGCTCCTGAGCTCTGGTGACGTAGAGCGACCGGACCTCCTCCTCCGTCATGCACTTCACCGCCAACTGCACCGGAAACACAACGGGAAACACAACGGGAAACACAACGGGAAACACAACGGAACACAACAAACAAACACAACGGGAAACACAACGGGAAACACAACGGGAAACACAACGGGAAACACACAACGGGAAACACACAACGGGAAACACAACGGGAAACACCAGAACAGGTCAAAAATCACCAAACGAGTGTCTGACTTTTATTAAGTGCATCACGTTCCTTTTACAGTTTTGAAAATGTTGAATTCGCCCAAAATAACTTCTACACGTTCTCCCCTCTCTTTGCTCTCTGCTCTGAGTCCCTCCCCCTTCAGAGCAGGGGCAGGAGCACCGACGCACTGACCTTGTGCGCGTCTTCCCAGCGTCCGGCCGTCGTCAACATGTCGATGGCGTCTTTAATGTGTCCTCCTCTGACCAACAGCTGCTCCGCCACCTGCAGGACAAACACGGAACTGTACCTCACTCTGTCTCACTTTATACACCAGGACACACAGGGAGGACACCAGGACACACAGGGAGGACACCAGGACACAGGGAGGACACCAGGACACAGGGAGGACACCAGGACACACAGGGAGGACACCAGGACACACAGGGAGGACACCAGGACACACAGGGAGGACACCAGGACACAGGGAGGACACCAGGACACACAGGGAGGACACCAGGACACACAGGGAGGACACCAGGACACCAGGACACACAGGGAGGACACCAGGACACAGGGAGGACACACAGGACACACAGGACACCAGGACACACAGGGAGGACACCAGGACACACAGGGAGGACACCAGGACACACAGGGAGGACACCAGGACACGAGGACACACAGGGAGGACACCAGGACACACAGGGAGGACACACAGGGAGGACACACAGGGAGGACACCAGGACACACAGGGAGGACACACAGGGAGGACACCAGGACACACAGGGAGGACACCAGGACACACAGGGAGGACACACAGGGAGGAAACACAGGGAGGACACCAGGACACGAGGACACGAGGGCACCAGGACATGAGGACACACAGGGAGGACACCAGGACACACAGGGAGGACACACAGGGAGGACACCAGGACACGAGGACACACAGGGAGGACACCAGGACACGAGGACACACAGGGAGGACACCAGGACATGAGGACACACAGGGAGGACATCAGGACACACAGGGAGGACACCAGGACACGAGGACACACAGGGAGGACACCAGGACACCAGGACACGAGGGCACCAGGACATGAGGACACACAGCGAGGACACCAGGACACACAGGGAGGACACCAGGACACACAGGGAGGACACACAGGGAGGACACCAGGACACGAGGACACACAGGGAGGACACCAGGACACGAGGACACACAGGGAGGACACCAGGACATGAGGACACACAGGGAGGACACCAGGACACGAGGACACGAGGGCACCAGGGCATGAGGACACACAGGGAGGACACCAGGACACCAGGACACACAGGGAGGACACCAGGACACGAGGAGGACACCAGGACACCAGGGCATCAGGGCACCAGGACACGAGGACACGAGGAGGACACCAGGACATCTGACACACGAAGACACAAGGACACCTGACACACGAGGACACGAGGACACCTGACACACGAGGACACGAGGACACCTGACACACGAGGACACGAGGACACCTGACACATGAGGACGGGAGGACATCTGACACATGTGAATAGAGTAAGTTTTTGGTCTAAACTCCCAAAGTCTCGTGTCTCTGTCCTCGTGTCTCTGTCCTCGTGTCTCTGTCCTCGTGTCTCTGTCCTCGTGTCTCTGTCCTCGTGTCTCTGTCCTCGTGTCTCTGTCCTCGTGTGTCTCTGTCCTCGTGTCTCTGTCCTCGTGTCTCTGTCCTCGTGTCTCTGTCCTCGTGTCTCTGTCCTCGTGTCTCTGTCCTCGTCTCTGTCTCTCTGTCCTCGTGTCCTCGTGTCTCTCCTCTGTCTCTGTCCTGTGTCTCTGTCCTCGTGTGTCTCTGTCCTCGTGTCTCTGTCCTCGTGTCTCTGTCCTCGTGTCTCTGTCTCTGTCCTCGTGTCTCTGTCCTCGTGTCTCTGTCCTCGTGTCCTCGTGTCTCTGTCCTCGTGTGTCTCTGTCCTCGTGTCTCTGTCCTCGTGTCTCTGTCTCTGTCCTCGTGTCTCTGTCCTCGTGTCTCTGTCCTCGTGTCTCTGTCCTCGTGTCTCTGTCCTCGTGTCTCTGTCCTCGTGTCTCTGTCCTCGTGTCTCGTGTCTCGTGTCTCTGTCTCTGTCCTCGTGTCTCTGTCCTCGTGTCTCTGTCTCGTGTCCTCGTGTCTCTGTCCTCTGTCTCTGTCCTCTGTCTCTCGTGTCTCTGTCCTCTGTCTCGTGTCTCTGTCCTCGTGTCTCTGTCTCTGTCCTCGTGTCTCTGTCCTCGTGTCTCTGTCCTCGTGTCTCTGTCCTCGTGTCTCTGCCCTCCTGTGTCTCTGTCCTCGTGTCTCTGTCCTCGTCTCTTGTTTCGTTTTGTGTTTTTCTGCAGGTTTTCATGTCTGAATCGGAGTTTTCTTGGTGAACCTCCCACACGTGAACTGAAGGAACTCGACTATTTCAGGACACGTTTGGCTCCTCAGAACAAACATCACATTTTCTTTGAGAATTTGTTTTGATCCAAACTTGTGAGACGGAGAAATGAGAAAACACAAAGTCTGCAGAGCGAGTCCTGGTTCAGTCCGAGGTCAGAAGAACTGAGGTTAACGTGAACTTCTTGTCGTCTGCCACGTTTCCACGAGAGCTTGAACCTTCTCGCTGTGAGGCCTGAGTGTTCACATCTGCTCTTAAGGCTCATTTCAACTTTTAGTCCAGTCCCGGTTTAGTCCCGGTCCAGCCTCGGTCCTGGTCCTGGTCTGGTCCAGTCCAGGTCTCACCTCGTACTCGTGCACGGAGGCGTAGTACTGGGCGATCTTCACGTAGTATTTGGAGGCCGCAGAGTCGTCCTGCGTCTCCAGAATATGAACGGCCTTTTTCCACTGACGAGCGGCGACGGCGGCTTCGATGGCTTTAATCGAGCAACTGCAACCACAGAAAACGACATGAAGAAGGAGAGAGGAGGAGGAGGAGAAGGTCAGAGGATCAGAGGAGCAGAAGGTCAGAGGGTCAGAGGAGGTGACACTGACCCGGCCTCGATGAAGTGGTTTATCGCTGCGTCCATCTGCTTCTGTTGGACCAGGTGATCTCCCCAGGACTCCTCCAGCCGCACCACCTCCGACGGGAACGAGCTGCGAGCCAACTCCACCGCTGCAGGAGAACACGGCCAGACCAGACCACGTCCAGACCAGACCAGACCACAACCAGACCACGTCCAGACCACAACCAGACCACGTCCAGACCAAACGAAAACAGAAAAAACAGACGTGGAGAGTGTGAGAGGAGCCACAGGAGACAGATCCAGAGCTGTGTGACAGTTCTTTTGTTCTGTTTCTCAAACTGTGGAACATCTAAACCTGATGGTGACCTTGAACTGTGGAACATCTAACTGTGAGTAGATGTGCGTGTGGTGGTTTTCAGTGTGAAGTCAGACCTTTCCTGAAGGCTCCTCCTTTGACGTAACACTCCAGCGCCCTCTGGTGGTTCCTGGTGCATTCGTACAAATCTCCAGCCTGAACAAAAACAGAATCACTCTTCAGATTCCACCAAAACACCAACTCTGAGTTCTAACGCCGTTTCCTCATCTCCAAAACTCCAAATGCTCTGCTCCACCTTGTGATGTCATCATGTGGTGATACAGGAAGTGCTCCACTGTGTTTTTAAACTCCACACTTCACCTTCACTAGAATCACCTGGATCAGTTCAGTCCTGGAGTTGTTGATCTCGACTGAACTAAAGAGAAAAGGAGCTGAGAACTTGGAAACTACCACTTGATGACATCACAAGGTGGAACAGAGCGTTTGAAGTTTTGCAGATGTAACAGACTCAGAATAAAGATTTACTCAAACAAACACCAGAACAGAAAGTCCAGCTCTGAGCGGGAGGAGGAACATCAGAACATGACTTAAAGCTCGGTCCATGTCCCATTGGTTCTTTTGAATTTCAATTAAGAACGAAAAACAATAAAATAGGAAAACAGTTTGTTATTTCTTTAGTTTTAGAGTAAAAAACAAAAAAACTGATTTCAATTTGTTTCCAATATTTAATTTAAAGTTTATTTCAAATAACTCCATGCCTATTTTAATCTATTATTTTTGAAATCTGTTTTTTTGTTTGACACTAAAATGGAAAAATGAAATAACAAACTTTATTTTATTGTTTTTTGTTCTTAATTGAAATTGAGCAGAACCGATGGGACGAGTTCACCGTGTCAGTGTGTGTGTGTGGTTCCGTGTCGGTGTGTGTGTGGTTCCGTGTCGGCGTGTGTGTGGTTCCGTGTCGGCGTGTGTGTGTGGTTCCGTGTCAGTGTGTGTGTGGTTCCGTGTCGGTGTGTGTGTGGTTCCGTGTCAGTGTGTGTGTGTGGTTCCGTGTCGGTGTGTGTGTGGTTCCGTGTCGGCGGTGTGTGTGTGGTTCCGTGTTCGGGTGTGTGTGTGGTTCCGTGTCGGTGTGTGGTGGTTCCGTGTCGGTGTGTGTGTGGTTCCGTGTCGGTGTGTGTGTGTGTGGTTCCGTGTCAGTGTGTGTGTGGTTCCGTGTCGGGATGTGTGTGTGTGGTTGTGTGTGTGTGTGTGTGGTTCCGTGTCAGTGTGTGTGTGTGGTTCCGTGTCGGTGTGTGTGTGGTTCCGTGTCGGTGTGTGTGTGGTTCCGTGTCAGTGTGTGTGTGTGGTTCCGTGTCGGGGTGTGTGGTTCCGTGTCGGTGTGTGTGTGGTTCCGTGTCGGTGTGTGTGTGGTTCCGTGTGTCGGTGTGTGTGTGGTTCCGTGTCGGTGTGTGTGTGTGGTTCGTGTCAGTGTGTGTGTGGTTCCGTGTCGGGATGTGTGTGTGGTTCCGTGTCAGTGTGTGTGTGTGGTTCCGTGTCAGTGTGTGTGTGGTTCCGTGTCGGTGTGTGTGGTTCCGTGTCGGTGTGTGTGTGGTTCCGTGTCGTGTGTGTGGTGTGTGTGTGTGTGGTTCCGTGTCGGTGTGTGTTGTGTGGTTCCGTGTCGGCGTGTGTGTGTGGTTCCGTGTCGGGTGTGTGTGGTGTCCGTGTCGGCGTGTGTGTGTGGTTCCGTGTCGTGTGTGTGTGTGGTTCCGTGTCGGTGTGTGTGTGTGGTTCCGTGTCGGTGTGTGTGTTCCGTGTGTGTGTGTGTGTTCCGTGTCGGTGTGTGTGTGTGGTTCCGTGTCGGTGTGTGTGTGTGTTCCGTGTCGGGTGTGTGTGGTTCCGTGTCGTGTGTGTGTGGTTCCGTGTCGGCGTGTGTGTGTGGGTTGTGTCCGTGTCGGGTGTGTGTGTGGTTCCGTGTCGGTGTGTGTGTGGTTCGTGTCGGTGTGTGTGTGGTTCCGTGTCGGGGTGTGTGTGTGGTTCCGTGTCGGTGTGTGTGTGGTTCCGTGTCGGTGTGTGTGTGTTCCGTGTCGGTCGTGGTGTGTGTGTGTGGTTCCGTGTCGGCGTGTGTGTGTGTGTCGGTGTGGTTGTGTGTGTGTGTCGCGTGTGTGTGGTTCCGTGTCGGCGTGTGTGTGGTTCCGTGTCGGTTCCGTGTTGTGTGTGTGGTTCCGTGTCGGCGTGTGTGTGGTTCCGTGTCGGTGTGTGTGTGTGTTCCGTGTCGGTGTGTGTGTCGTGTGTGTGTTGTGTGTGTGTGTGGTTCCGTGTCGGTGTGTGTGTGGTTCCGTGTCGGTGTGTGTGTGGTTCCGTGTCGGCGTGTGTGTGGTTCCGTGTCGGCGTGTGTGTGGTTCGTGTTCCGTGTGTGTGTTGTGTGTGTGTTCCGTGTCGGCGTGTGTGTGGTTCCGTGTCGGCGTGTGTGTGTGGTTCTGTACCC